GGGAATGTGTAGTGTAAACATTTTCCACAGCCTTCCAATAGCCTATATGATAGGGAGAGTAATAATGATAATAATAATAATAATATACAGTTGTGTATACAATGTATTTGGATATAGTGTAGGCACATTTCTTGTAACACTGATGATTAGAGAGTGACAAATTATAGAAGGTGAGGTATTATTGGTAATAAAATGTAGAAGACAGAGAAGAAGCCAGAGGAAAAAGTAGACATTTAATGTGATATTTATTTTTCTCTCTTTATCTTCCTTTTTTTTCTTTTAAACTGGTATTATGTGAAGAGACGAGCCATTTGGATAATATTTGTGACCCTGGAGCACAAAAGCAGTCATAAGGGTCCATTTTTCGAAATTGAGATTTATACATAATCTGAAAGCTGAATAAATAAGCTTTCATTGATGTATGATTTGTTAGGACAATATTTGGACAATAGGCTATTTGGCTGAGATACAACTATTTGAAAATCTGGAATCTGAGGGTGCAAAAAAATCTAAATATTGAGAAAATCACCTTTAAAGTTGTCCAAATAAAGTTCTTAGCAATGCATATTACTGATCAAAAATTTACTTTTGATATATTTACAGTATGAAATTTACAAAATATCTTCATGGAACATAATCTTTACTTAATATCATAATGATTTTTGGCATAAAAGAAAAATGGATAATTTTAACCCATACAATGTATTGTTGGCTATTGCTACAAATATACCCCAGCGACTTAACACTGCTTTTGTGCTCCAGGGTCACATTTTATAACAACACGAATGAGAAATTATCTAAAGTGTCTCACATCACCTGTATTCACACCCGTAGTTCTGTATAGTCATCTGATTGATATTAGTCAAACACAGACAGATTGTTGACTACCAGCGTAACATCTGGTTCACTTTGCATCTTTTCCAGTCTTGACTAAGGGTGCTTTCACACCTGGCTCGTTGTTTCGGAACCTGGCGCGTTTCCCCCCTTAGCTCGGTTCGTTTGGGCATATGTGAAAACGGCAATCGTGCTCGGATCCGCGCCAAAACAATCGGTCCGAGATCGCCTGAACGAGGTGGTCACGACTCGATTGAAATCGAACTCTGGAGCAGTTCAGTTGTAGTGAGAAAGCAATCGATCCATATATATATATATATATAGATATATATATATATATATATATATATATATATATAGATATACATCATTGCATTCTGTTTTTATTCACAATTTGTACAGTGTCCCAACTTTTTTGGAATCGGGTTTGTATATGAACATATCTATGTGTACGTGTTAGGGGTGTAACAGTACACAACTTCATAACAAAAATTAACTTTTGTTTCAGTTGTTCGATCGGGCAACATGACGGTAGTATCCTACATAAATCGCCAGGGCGGCCTTTCCTCCCCACGCCTCTTCAGGATGGCAAAGAGCCTGGAGTGGGCCACTTGCGCTCCCTAAAAGCAGCGCACATACCGGGCAAACTGAACCAGGGAGCAGACATGCTGTCTCGGAGCAACATCCCCTCTGGCGAGTGGATGCTTCACCCCCAGACGGTTCGGAGAATATGGGAGATCTTCGGGAAGGCAGAGGTCGACCTCTTCGCCTCAGAAGACAACTCTCACTGCCCAATCTATTTTTTGAAGGAAAGGGATGTGCTGGCCCACAATTGGCCCAGCCTTCTCATTTAAGCTTTTCCCCCGATCGCCCTGGTCCCTCAGGTCATCAGGCAAATCAGGGAACATAGGCACAAGTTTCTTCTAGTGGCCCCGCTCTAGAGAAACCAACTATGGTTCTCAGAGATGTCTCAGCTGCTCACGGCAGCTCCATGGCCCATTCCCCTGAGACGGGACCTCCTCTCTCAGGCGAACATGACGATATGGCACCCCCAACCCAAGTTGTGGGCCCTACACTTATGGCCTCTTGATGGGAGCCTATAAACCTCCCAGAGGGTGTCTTAAATACCATTTCTCAGGCTAGAGCCCCTTCCACAAGGCGCTTCTATGCCCTCAAATGGTCGGTCTTCACCGCTTGGTGTACAAACCTCGGTGAAGATCCATCCACATGTGACATATCTTCGATATTGTCTTTTCTTCAAGAGCTGTTGGATAAGAGTTGCACCCCCTCCACACTTAAGGTCTATGTGGCGGCCATAGCAGCTTTTCATGCTCCTATAGACGGGATATCGGTCAGCAGGAACAATCTCGTTGTTCGATTTTTGAAAGGGTCTAGGAGGTTGAATCCCCTAGACCCTTCTACGGTCCCTATGTGGGATCTGTCTACGGTTCTGAGGGTGCTCAAAGGCCCCCCCTTTGAACCGCTGCAATCAGCTGATATTCGACCCCTGTCGCTAAAGACCGCTCTGCTATTGGCTTTGGCATCGGTTAAGCGAGTTGGAGATTTACAGGTGCTCTCTGTGAGCCCCTCCTGCCTTGAATCGGGCCTAACGACTCCAAGGTCGTCCTGAAGCCTAGGCATGGTTGCGTACCTAAGGTCCTCTCTACTCCATTCAGAGCACAGGTAATCACGCTCTCTGCACTCCCCCCCTTGCAGGAGGACCAGGAGCTAAAAATGCTCTGTCCTGTCAGGGCATTAAAAATTTACATTGACCGCTCCGCCTCCTTTAGGGAGTCGGAGCAGCTCTTTGTATGCTTTGGTGGCCGCACCAAGGGGCTTCCGGTCACAAAGCAAAGACTATCCCGTTGGATAGTTGACGCAATAGCTCTTGCATACTCCTCCTTGGGCCTTCAATGCCCCATCGGGGTCAGAGCACATTCCACGAGAGGCATGGCCTCATCCTGGGCATGGTCCAGTAGTGTGTCCATTGCAGAAATTTGTGCGGCGGCTGGCTGGTCCTCGCCATCCACCTTTGTCATGTTCTACGACCTAGACGTCCCTGCTTTGCAGGCTCAGGTCCTTTCTGCTTAACTGTCTCTCTGAGCTCAAAATGCTCCAGGAACCATATCCCCGCCCTAAGGCTGGATTTAATCCTTGCATAGCTTGACTATGTTTCGAACCCGCTGAAGTTCCCACGTCTGGGCTTAGCTTCCGGCACGCTCTCGGCCCTATCTAGTTCCGAGGCTGTGCGAAGCTCTAAGAACGATTTTGTAAGGCCGGGTTCGACCTCTATGAGTTAGCCCATTTCTTTGCCTTCTCTTGACCAAAAAAGAATCCGGGTCTCTGGCTATGGCCTGCTTCATTGTAATTGATCTACAGGGCCCCCTTCTGGATGCCCTGGACAATTACTTATAAGTCGTTCATCTACCATAGCATGGTGTGATTGAATAGGTTCCCGTAGCGTCTAGCGATGCAGTACGAAATGAAGTATCGAAAGGGAACGTACTCGGTTACTAATGTAACCTCAGTTCCCTGAGATACGGGAACGAGTACTGCAAAGCTAGCCGTGCTATGATGGTGCACGACTCTGTCGTCGCTTTAGTCGATATGAATCCGTGATCCTATGCCGAGCACCTGCTTATATAGCCAGATGCCCTGCCCATTTTGGCGGGCTCGTGTTCACTGTTTCACCATAGGCTCGCCTCATTGGCTCATTTCTGAAACAATGGCAGTGCAGATGCACTGCTGTGATTGAAAAAAAAGGCTTCAGTAAATCGGAGAAAAGGAATTTCCCGTAGCGTCTAGCGACGCAGTACTCGTTCCCGTATCTCAGGGAACCCGAGGTTACGTTAGTAACTGAGTATGATTATTATATTTAAAAAATAGATAATAATTGAATTTTGAAGTTTGGGTTCTGTTGTTGATCGTAAACTTATAGTAATGTTTAAGGGCTCCCTATTGTTTAGAGCAGTGGTCGCCAACCCGTCGATCGCAAACGACTGGTAGATCTTTATCACTGTCCCAGTAGATCCCGAAAATAACAGTAAAATAAGTACAAAAATGCATTACATTTATGGGGTTATAATAATATATCACTGAAGGGAACTGTCTTGAGAAAAGTTTCGATGGCAATTGCATTTTCTTCTCCTCCGTATAAAGCACAGCTCTGCTTTGTTTACAGCGGTAAACAAGAAAACGTTATATTGTGGTCGGTTCATAAGCAGTGTTGCCAAGTTAGCAGTTTTCCCGCAGAATTGGGCTACTTTAACACTGTTGCCGCGTTTATGTCCGCGGGTTGAAGCGACCCCAATAATGTAATATTTAGCCCCTGGAATGTGAATTTTACTGGAAGATCCCCGCCGAAAAATTTATATTTTACCCCTGGAATGCGATTTTTACAGGGGAAGCCCCCTCGAAATGCGATTGTTTTACTGCGAAAACCTGGCAACCCTGTTCATAAGCGCCAGAGAGTGCGTCTCATTCAGACCTGCTGTTTTTGTTTCGTGCAGATGTTTTATGTAGCAAATAAATAAGTCAGACCATTTTGTTTTTGTTTTAAATCCTGAAATTAATCTAAATCAAATCAAAAACAACTGCTCCTGCAGATCATGATTAAAATGCAGTGGTTGCCTCTAATTTCAAATTACTAGATATTTTTGTTTAAAGCCAGTTTGTTTGTTATAAAGCAAGCAGCCAATAAATACATTTGCTTAAATATCAGTATCAGAATCAGCCAATTTGCTAGTTAAAAGTAAAGAAAGAAAGAAAAGAGAATCTGAATTCTGAATCAGCTATGATCGGTGCATCACTAATTAAAATACTAAGTAAAAGGCCTCAAACTTGAAGTACAATCTGGGATGTATTTTTCTATGAATTCTTCAATAGGTAGATCTTGTCTTTCATAAAGGCCGAGGTCAGGGATCTTGGGCCTAAAAAGGTTGGTGACCACTGGTTTAGAGCATAAACTGAGGTAGATTTTTATCCCTAAGAACATTTTTATTATAATTGAATTTATTAAAATAAAGAATGATTTGTTCAGTAAACCACAATTTAATTAAACAAACAAAAACATGTTTAGTTTCTCCCCTGCTGTAAAGAAACCGTTACCGAACCGTGACGTCAAAACTGAGGTACGTTACACCCCTAGTATGTGTTTACTTATTACACAAAGTGTCAGTCAGACCTGCTGGCAGATGTTTTATGTAGCAAATAAAAAAATAACACCTAAAGTCAGACCATTTTGTTTTTGTTTTAAATCCTGAAATTAATCTAAATCAAATCAAAAACAACTGCTCCTGCAGATCATGATTAAAATGCAGTGGTTGCCTCTAATTTCAAATTACTAGATATTTTTGTTTAAAGCCAGTTTGTTTGTTATAAAGCAAGCAGCCAATAAATACATTTGCTTAAATATCAGTATCAGAATCAGCCAATTTGCTAGTTAAAAGTAAAGAAAGAAAGAAAAGAGAATCTGAATTCTGAATCAGCTATGATCGGTGCATCACTAATTAAAATACTAAGTAAAAGGCCTCAAACTTGAAGTACAATCTGGGATGTATTTTTCTATGAATTCTTCAATAGGTAGATCTTGTCTTTCATAAAGGCCGAGGTCAGGGATCTTGGGCCTAAAAAGGTTGGTGACCACTGGTTTAGAGCATAAACTGAGGTAGATTTTTATCCCTAAGAACATTTTTATTATAATTGAATTTATTAAAATAAAGAATGATTTGTTCAGTAAACCACAATTTAATTAAACAAACAAAAACATGTTTAGTTTCTCCCCTGCTGTAAAGAAACCGTTACCGAACCGTGACGTCAAAACTGAGGTACGTTACACCCCTAGTATGTGTTTACTTATTACACAAAGTGCATACATTACTTTATTCATTCATACAGCAGACGCTTTTATCCAAAACAATATATTGAACAGTATATTTATCATTTATAAATGCAAAATATAAATGTCTATATATTTATATAACAATAAAGTTTTAGAAATGTATATATTCATATAATTTAATTTTGTTTATAATTTAAGTAATAAATGTATTTAAATATAATTTCTATTTTTATATATTTAATAATTGTAACAAACCTTAATAGGTTCCCGTAGCGTCTAGCGATGCAGTACGAAATGAAGTATCGAAAGGGAACGTACTCGGTTACTAATGTAACCTCAGTTCCCTGAGATACGGGAACGAGTACTGCAAAGCTAGCCGTGCTATGATGGTGCACGACTCTGTCGTCGCTTTAGTCGATATGAATCCGTGATCCTATGCCGAGCACCTGCTTATATAGCCAGATGCCCTGCCCATTTTGGCGGGCTCGTGTTCACTGTTTCACCATAGGCTCGCCTCATTGGCTCATTTCTGAAACAATGGCAGTGCAGATGCACTGCTGTGATTGAAAAAAAAGGCTTCAGTAAATCGGAGAAAAGGAATTTCCCGTAGCGTCTAGCGACGCAGTACTCGTTCCCGTATCTCAGGGAACCCGAGGTTACGTTAGTAACCGAGTATGATTATTATATTTAAAAAATAGATAATAATTGAATTTTGAAGTTTGGGTTCTGTTGTTGATCGTAAACTTATAGTAATGTTTAAGGGCTCCCTATTGTTTAGAGCAGTGGTCGCCAACCCGTCGATCGCAAACGACTGGTAGATCTTTATCACTGTCCCAGTAGATCCC